CGTATACAGGTATCCTGTGCATCCCAAGTTGCATATACATTTTCATATTTTTTTTACCCCAGAAAGAATGCGAAGATGCTTGCTTCTTTCCGTCTTTTTATCGTTTTTGTTACTTCATCGACCACTTTCTGGATCCTCACTTTGAACGTGGAATTCTCTTCCTTTTATTTGGAATTGGAGGTCCCATATGAAAAGAAAGGAAAGACCCCAGTGCCTGCCATTATTGATCCTAAAAATTAAAGAAAAGATATGCAATATCTCACCTTTTGGCCATTTCCATCTAATTTCCATCTAATTTCAGTATCTCACGGACTTGATCCACGCGCCCCGCCCAGTCCTTGCTTAAAGTGGAATCACTTTCTTATGTGCATGTGTTGTTAAATTCTATGGATTTTGAAAATATTTTTGTAATTTAATGATTATTTTTTTATGTGAAAGATATTTTATATTAAATTTAATAAGAATAAGGTTTAAATCATTTTCAAAATAATCACAGCCTGCCATTATTGATCCTGGAAAGCAAAGAAAAGATATGCAATATCTTATCGTTTGACCTTTTCCATCAAATTTCATTTCTCGTGAATTTGATCCCCGCGCCCCGCCCAGTCCTTGCTTAAAGTGGAATCACTTTCTTACGTGCAGGCTAAAATCAACCCTTTAACTCTTTATCTTATAAAATTAATAAATTTTAGTTTTTAATTTTATAATATAATATTTTTAATTTTTATTTTATAAAATTAATAAATTTTAATCAATTATCATATAAAGTTAGTAAATTTTAACCTCTCATCTTATGTTATGATATTTTTAATCTTTTGGCATAAATATGACATAAGGATCCAAACTTATACAAAATTCGCAATGTTGGACCCAAACTTCAATTGCACTCAATTAAGGTCCCGAACTCCATGAAATTCTCAAATAAGGTCCCAATTGGACGGAAAACTAACTTCCGTCAAATCTAACAAACACCGTTAATGACTTCTTGACAGCCGTTTGTCATCGGCTTCCGTGGCTTGCACCTGCAGGTCCTGCACGCTTTTTCATGTTTTTTTTTTCCTTTACTTCATTTGTTTTTAGTAATAATATTTTTCTTTAACAAAAAAGTAATAATATTTTTTATTAATTAATTATTTTTTAAAT